GTTTGTGTGTGTGTGTGTGTGTGTGTGTGTGCGTGTGTGTGTGTGGCTGTATGTGTGTGTGTGTGTGTGTGTGTGTGTGTGTGTGTGTATGTGTGTTTATATGTGTTTGTGTGTCTGTGTGTGTTAGTGTGTGTGTGTGTATACTGTGTGTGTTTGTGTGTGTGTGTGTTTGTGTCTGTGTGTGTGTGTGTATGTGTGTGTGTGTGTGTGTGTGTGCGTGCGTGCGTGCGTGCGTGTGTGTGTGTGTGTTAACTATTAAAATAGCTCTCTAACATACTGGAGTACACACTCATCTCATGCCTCCTTACAAAAATATCATTCTAATTTGTTTCACCCCCCCCCCCCTTTATGTGTTTACAGCTATTCTTAGAGTATAGCGAGTCCTGTAGTGCGTCAGTTATTTTGTTACCGGGCTTTGCTCGCTCTTTTCCTTGACCCAACTCAGCAGCGGTTATTTTTACTCTCCAATCAGAGTTTTAGGTTTAGGCTTATCTTGGCGTGTTTTAGGCTTTTTATCGTTTTTTTTTGTACTAGTGAACGTTTTTTACGCCAATGTCATGTTCGAGGGATGAGACGCCACTGTGGATCAGCAGTACCCACTCACTGTGATCATGACAGAGAGCTTGAAAGTCCCTCCCACTATGAGCAGTTACTGAACTAACCCTGCTGCCGGCAATACTCTGCAACTTGAACCTGTGCGCCCAGCAGGAAGTTCAAGGTTAAATCGGTTCAGGGACAGTCCTGTGGGATTTCTGTTGGAATTCTTCCCTCACTTCCTTGTGAGCCCGTGCTTCTTGTCAATATCCCAAACGAAATAACAAGGAAATAAAGCTGGTGGATTCTGAGAAGGGCTAGGCTGGTATCCGGTCTGATTCGTGGTCGGGGCCGCAAGAGCTCTGTCCCGCCCGCCTCACATAGGTTTCCCGGTGTGTATTTCACGAGAGATTGAAATCCCCAAGCATACTGTCTGTCTCTTATTAGCGTAACGCTCCTACCGGGACGGCCTGTTGCACTGGGCGGGGGAAGCTATTAGAGCCCCCGAAGGCACAACCTGCCCGAACACCCCATCACCCCCAATCACGTAAGACTGGATACCAGGCTAGAGAAGGGCCTGACAAGGAAGTTCCTTGAGTACTTGTCCTCTGTAAATTGCTGAGCAGGAACTATTTGGAGATGTATAAATTGAGGTAGTTCTGTTGCACGGCCCAGTACTTGTTGGAGAAGTGCCCGTGCCCACATCTTTGTGAGCAGTCCGGTGTAGCAGCAGCGACTTTATGTAAGGTAAGGGAGCATTGCATATTGCTAAGAGGGGATGGATTGAGAACACCTCGGACTGTTCATGCGTTGTGGACACACTCAGGAATCAGACTGAGCATACACTAGTCGGCCCCGTAGCCGATAGTTGCCCGGGTATACAGAAGTGCGGAACACCTCCATGACATGTCATATAGGTTTTATTTTCAGTTGCCTTTATCCGTTCGTCTGTTGGTAAACAAAATAACTCAAGAACGGCTAGATGGATTTGTTTCATACTTGGTGCGTTGGTAGGGTGTGACAAAGTCTTTATATTATTAGATTTTGGGCCCCCTAGTGGCTTCCCTTGGTACTGCAGCACAACTTCCGGTTTTGATACCTCGCAATCTGGGCATGCTAGGGTCATGAATTTTTTATTGTAGGTAGCAAGAAGTCACGTGAGTTCAGTCCTCCTAGCAGCTTGTTATGGAACTGCAGGACGGTTTGTTTGAAAAACGTCAAGAGAGGATAATTTAAAAACTGGTTAACGAATTGTCGTGATTTTTGGTATGTGGGTAGCTGAAGTGATGCTTGGCATTACTGAGTTACAATTTACATAATTAATGAGGAATTCTATAAATCTGTTCGATGCTAGAGCTATGAAACACTTGTGACATACGTAATTGAGAATGACAGGAACATTGGCAGATATTAATTATTTAAATGAAGACCTCATTTGCATATTTCTTGTGAAATTGCCACAATTTTAGGGTTATAATTGCTGTAATTTAATACTTGCCATAGTTAGAAGTTCAGAGAACATCACTAAACGTAATTTATTCAAATCAGGATATCATTTGCATAATTAAGGAGGAAAAGCTAGAATAGCCTTATTTCTTAAGATAATCCAGTCTTTGGGTGGAAAATATGATCAATTGATATAATATATGCAAATGAGGCTCTTATAATTTGCATTATCGTAGTGAAAAAAATGTATGATTTGTTTGGACATTAAAATGATTTAGCAAAGGTATGTCAGAGGTCATGCTTTCATAAAACCGACAATATCATACCTTGTCCATGCCGAATGATAAGAATTTCACCAGTGTGACGCATGTTACTAGGTCAGGTCCATGTGAATAATTTACATGAAAATTTTGCTATTGAGCATAATTGTAAATGTATGCCATTTAAAGGTGGTCATCACCTTGCATAAGATTTACAAAAGCACTAAGCATGTTATGGAGGTATGAGATCGCCGAACTCTTGTTGAAAAATAGCATTGTGTTAATTAATATCTAATTTGCATGATTAAGGAGAAGATGCTATAATTCCGTAGTTATTAAATAAATAAAAGGTAAACATTTAGTAAGCTCTTGTGTTATGAAAAACTTAAACTGTTCTCCAACTCAAAATTTGACTTACCAGAAATTTTCGACTGAATCACTCAGTCTTCCTCAGCTATCTGACCCAAATGCTGTGGACACGTGATTTTTCCCACGTGTGACGTCAGCAAAGGGTCAAAGGTTGTGTGACGTCTATATCGCCCCCCGTCCCGGTTGAGCTATGCTTGAAGTGCCCTGATGTATATGGCCTCTTTTATGCCTCTCTTGAAGTAATCCTGTTCGGTATCCAAGATTCTGACCCCCTCCAGATCCACTGTGTGTGCCGGTGATTCTATGTGGACGTTTAAGTTTTTCATAATGTTATTTACCAACTCAGATGAACTTTCATGCTGATTGTGTTAGTTAGTATGGTGTCGCTTTGACGTACATTTATGCGAACACATGTACACACATAGACTGGGCGTCTCTGACGCTAGCGTGTATAACATAATTTCATTCTTTCATTTATTCATGATCATTTGTACACAGTCACGCAAAAAACGCACTCGCACACACACATTTATATTTACGTTATTTCTTGGATATATCGCAATAAATTACATGCGGAAAAAAAAAGAAAACAGACAGCATTTAAGCTGAAACATAGATCATGTAATACGACGCCTGTTGAAACAATCATTTTCTGTTATTTTTCATGCATTTTACTATTTTACCTATCAAGACTTATAATACATTTCTCAGAACTGATTCAATACAATATTGTATATACTGAATCTACAACAAACAATTGAATGTGACACGGACCTCCGATCCCTCAGCTATTACGTTATCATAACACAGATAACACAAAGCTTTGTGTATCTTAACATGAAAACGAATAGACATTATGTACTACAAACTTTGACATGACATGACATGACAAAATGGCACCAAAAGGTACCTTTCGCTTCTCTAGATTGGACAGTTCCTCTCCCGTGCTTCAAAAACCGTATAGAACTTTGTGCAACATATTTATTACCATGCACACTGTTACCAACGATAGTATCATCTCACTATAATAACACGTGTGACTTAAGGTGCAAACGTGGATGGGTGAATCAAGTGATCGACATTGCTACAGTTCCTATGCTTGGCTAGAATGACCAATCCTAAAATGATCTAACAGATTAATATAAAGTTCAAATTTATTGCAATGAAATGAAATGAAATACCTTTATTGTACATTCATGCCACGACGGGCTAGGTACAGGTCAAGATATAACAGACACATAACAAATGTATATAGAAAATTGGAGACAAAAGATGCACTACTTGACTTAGACATACATACATACATACATACATACAAGGGTACTATACTAGGCTAGTACAAAGTGTTCTAGTCACTGAGAGAGGTCAACTTCTCGCTCTTTTGTACAGTGGAAAATGTGGCAGCAGATCATGTTTGTGATACAGAGTTTGTCTAGACGCCCCATATATGCCAAAACATTTTGGAATACGGTGTGTCTTTGTTGTTTATATCTCGGTGGTCGTGTTGAGGTCAAATTCTCTGGCAGTCATTTGTACAAAGATTCATCTGTAGACTTGTTTCCCACATGTAGCATTGTGTTACATTGTCTGTCCATGGTCTTATCCATTTACATTTTGTCTGCAGGCCAGGTTTGTTCGATTTCACTTTTGAACCGTTGTCAAAACAAATGCAGTTGTCCTTTTCGTCGGGTGCAATGCGTTTACGGCGCGGCCGAAGAAGAGACGCTTGACACCACGGCGAATTTCCTTCAGCCGAAAGCCGTAGATGATTGGATTAAGCGCGGAATTTACGATGACAAACCCTAGCATGGGCGGGCCTGTGATGCCACAGTCTTGTTTGCAGGCAATGCCGTCGGCGATTTTGATGCAAAATGGCAGCCACCCTACTAGAAACAGAATGGTGATGATGAGAACGGTGATTGATGATTTCCTACTGGTGCTGTGTTGGGCGTGCACTGCGGCTTCTTGCCGCTTGATGGCGCTAACCTGCTGCCACAGACACCAGAAGATACCGAGATTGAGGCCCACGATTGCAGTCATCGGTATGAAGACCAGCACCAAGACAAGGACCATGTAACTGTAGGCATAGCTTGCGCTTGCAAGATGAATACATCCTACCGCACAGTTCCAGCCGAAGTACGGCAGCATTGCGAAAATGCCACTCCAAACCCATACGACAGCGATCATTATCAGGCAGCGGTCGTTAGTGACGTTGTTGACGTAGGTCATGCCATGGACAATGAACCAGTAGCGCTCAGCCGTCAGGGTCAGCAGACTGTAAGCCGAGGTAAGCGCGGACAGGAGAACGGTTGTGAAGTAGAAATGCGCCAGTACATCAGGCAGAACAAGACCAGTATAAGAATAAGCCGTACAGTACACGGAGAGTAAGCTTACACCAGTGCAAATGTCACTTGCTGCCAGGTTGGCCATGAGAATGTAGACCGGTTTGTGCAGTGTCTCCTGCTTGACGATTGCCGCTATTGGTAGGCAGTTTCCCACGATGGACCAAATCGCAAGACCGCATAAGATGTACGACAACCATACAAGTGTAGGCTGCATTACCGGACTTTGATGTTGTTCATTTTCACCGAGACATTTTAGTTGAACAGAAGTTGAGTTTTCAGCTGATTGCGAGGTGCTGTCATTGCCCGCAATCAAGCTGCAGTTTGAAGATACGTCTTCTTGAAGTGTTGAGCCGAAAAAACTGTCGATGTCCATACCGTCATCGTTACTAATTTCTGTTGAACTGTTCGTGTTGATATTAGGTGCCAAAGTTCTCCCCAGACAGTGACCCAATACAACAAAAATACACAACGCTATCCGGTTGTACTGTCGTCCGCACAACATTATTACAGATTCCAGAAGAAGAATGAAAAAATACCGGCAATGTCAGGGTGTCACCAGACTGCACAGGACGGTGTCTGCATTTCCTTCAGGGAGAACAAGAGCGATGAAGTATCGGACTTGTCGAGTTGTCACAACACGTGTCTTCGGTATTTCCTCAGAAACCCTTCTTCTACGACTTTCCCAACAGGATGAACATTTCAAACGTCTCGTTTAAAGACACTTTTCTAAGGTTGTAGATCGACCAAATCACAGTATCAGTGCCCTCCAATTTGAAAGCAATGCGTGCAACATAATTTGAGACGTTGTATATGTACCCGCTTGCCATTAACACGTTGCATGATGTTGCACAGTCTACCGAACAGGTGCAGGAAAGTTTGGATTATCAGAAAGGGCCGTTCGGAAGCAGCATAAAATCTCTCTGCTTTCCAAGTCACGTAGAGAATTTGTTTAGTTATTTCTTCAACAATTGAAAGCAAACCCGTGCACTCAAAGAATTACAAAATTAAAGTTTTTCACCTGCAAACAGCCGGATCTTGTAGGACGTAGTCTTAAACCCACAATCCCTAACGTTTTCATCCATAAACACCTGCTATCGGGCTATTGTTTGGATGCTTACAACTTTTTAAAACATCCTATCGTTCATGCAATAATCTACGATTGGATTTAAAGAGAAAGTTTTGACGTGCTAGGATGATGGGCTTTGGTGACAGAAAGCTTTTTGTTCGGGACAAATGTTATAGGGCATTTCATAATGTAGAATTCGGGGTATTTGAAAGTTAGGTAAAGGTGAACATTGAGTGTGAACTTAAGCAAGCTCTTGTGCTAACAGTGTATGGTGTCGTTTTACGTAATATACTATGTACATTTATCCGCATTCATGTACACACATGGACTCGGCGTCTCTGACGCTAGCATGTATAACATAATTTCATTTATTCTTCCATTTATTCATGATCATTTGTACACACGCAAAGTACGCGGACGCACACACACACACACACACACACATTTTATGTACGTTATTTCTTGGATATATCGTAATAATGACCTGTGCAAAGAAGAAAAATGACACCATTTTAGATGAAACGTAGTTCATGTATTAAGACGTCTTTTGAGTAATACGTTTTTCTAGTACTCTAATTCATGCATTTTACCCTTTTGCCTATCGTTACTTATATTACATTTCAAATGACTTATTGAATACACTGTTTACTGAATCTACAACTATCAATCAAATGTGACTCTGACCTCCTTCAGCTATTACGATATCATAAAACAGATGACACAAAGTTTTTTTGCATCTTCGCAAGAGAAACTTATCACTAGACATTGTACTACTAACTTTGCGTTCCAGTGACATGACAAAATGGCACCAAAGGCTACATTTCGCTACTCAAGAATATGGATAGTTCCTCTGTTGTGCTTCAAAACCGTATACAGCTCTTGTGCAACATTTGTATCATCATACAATAACACACTGTTAACAACGATGGTATCATCTCAGTATTATACACGTGTGACTTAAGGTGCAAAAATGGATTGGTGAATTAAGTGATCTGTATTTTCCTACAGTTCCTGTGCTTGGCTAGAATTACCAATTCTAAAATGATCTAACAAATTTACATGCATATTTCATAACGTTCATATTGTTGAACTACATTACATCGCCCAATATTTTACGAAACATTTTGGAATATGTCATATCTTTGTCGTTCATATCTCGGTGGTCGTTTCGAGGTCAAATTCTCTGGGTCAATGGGCCGCCATTTGTAGAACGTTTCATGTGTAGGCTTGTAGCATTGTATGTCCATGGTCCTATTCATTTACATTTTATCTGCAGGCCAGATTCATTCGCTTTTATTTTTGAACCGTCGTCAAAACAAATGCAGTTGTCCTTTTCTTCGGGTGCAATGCGTTTGCGGCACGACCGAAGAAGAGACGCTTAATACCACGGCGAATGTCTTTCAGCCGAAAGCCGTAGACGATTGGATTAAGCGCGGAATTTACGATGACAAACCCTAGCATGGGCGGGCCTGTGATGCCGCAGTCTTGTTTGCAGGCAATGCCGTCGGCGATTTTGATGCAAAATGGCAGCCACCCTACTAGAAACAGAATGGTGATGATGAGAACGGTGATTGATGATTTCCTACTGGTGCTGTGTTGGGCGTGCACTGCGGCTTCTTGTCGCCTGATAGCGCTAACCTGCTGCCACAGACACCAGAAGACGCTAACATTGAGGCCCAGATTGCCGCCATTGGTATGAAGACCAGCATCAAGACAAGGACCAGGTAAC